GATAGATTTGCTTTCGTTATTAAGTATGGAGTCCGTAGAAATCAGGAAGAAATCTATTTGTGAATATGTGGAAAGTGTGGAGGAAAAAAAGTAAAACCCTTCATTGTAGGACTCTGCAACCGCCATACATCTTTTAACCCCAAGTCATCTTCTATATAGTCTTTCTAATGGTTCTAGCATGTTATTGTGTACACTGGGGCCAGCCTGACTTGTCTAAAAAAGGATCCAACACCTCATTAAAATCTCCTACTGTGATGATTGATTCTAGTGGGATAGTAATTAATTTGGGGGGAAAAAACCTTGGCTCATCTTTATTAGGTCCATATATATAAATTAGGGTATATAGAGAGTCAGAGATCTTAGGTTTCACCAGCAAAAATCTACCTTCCTCATCTTTATTTACATCTAGAACTTATAAATTCAGTCTTTTTCAAAACAATATTCCTACACCTTTGGTTGCTAAACACCCTTCCCCCATCCAGCCCATTCTAAATTTCTCTGCCTCCAAGTTATGAAGGTGGGTTTCCTGTAGGAAGATAATATCTGCTTTCAGTGTTTCTAGATGAGTGATTATTCTTTTTCTTTTTATCGGGTGATTCATCACCTTGATGTTCCTGGAAACACAATTTATAATATTAGGCATCAGGAGTGCTTACGTCAAATATTTCTTTATCAGGTACCTGCATAGTGTCATTGCTTGGGCCACAGTTACTTACAGATCTAGGAAAGGTATGTCTGGGTTCCCCCTCACCACCCCGGAGACGTGAACGGGGAGGGGGAAACAGAGAGAGTTAGGCAGAGTGGGAAAGATAAAAGATCATGTGGGTGTGACAGGGTGCTGGGCAGGAACTCCTGAGCCAGCCCTCTGTCAGGCCAGCTCCAATTAAGGGAGGTAAATTGGAGCTGGCTAGAGAAACCTGCACCAGATTGGCAAATGGGAAACAGCTGCCAGCCTAATTAGCTGGGAGCTACATACAGCCTAGAGGAAGGAAGCCGGGGAGATCCAGAGAGTGGAAGGAGAACGGCAGCTCTTCCCTCCTGGGTGCAGAACCTGAGACGTCCCGAAGGCTGAACCCCAATCTGTATATGGTGAGAAGGTGGTGGGCGCGTCCGCATGCTGTAAATAAACTGCACCGGTGATTGCTGAACCCCAGGGGCTCTGAGTGGTTTGTGAACGCAGCAGAGGCAGGAGCAAAGGGGACCCTGCTACACCCTGTTACAGTGAGAAACAGAAAAAAGAAATGAAGTGATCAAAATTGACCAAAGATCACTTGAAAAATACATAATTCTTATCCAAACCGAAATAGGACCTAAATCCATGAGATTTACAAGGGGGTGACCTCATCACTCACTCCCACCACCACCCCCAAAACACCCAATTGGAGTATAACTGGATTCCCTTTAGCTTTATAAAGAAGAAATAGTCTGATATCAAAAGAGGACGTGGTTTCTGCTCTGTTCACAACAACAACAGAAGGGGGAACAAGTCTGTAGTAGATATTTAAGAAAGTTATGCAAATTGTTTGAATAACCGTATGCTAACATAACCGGCTCATTTGCAGATAAGAATTCATTAGCAGACCTGTTCTGCCGACACTTTGCCCCCTAGAGCCTTGTCCATGCTGGATTATAATGCAAACGCCATTGCGCAAACGTTCTATCAGCAATAGAAATCAACACAGCATTTCTCACAACTCATTTAACAAAAATAAAAATGAAAGAAAAGTCCCTGCACGAATGTATTGCCAATCTCACAATAACACGGTCTCAGCAATCTGCTGAATCAGAACCAGCCCGAATCATCATTCCTGGGTAGGATTTTAGGAGCTCAGATTTCTTTACAGTTGGGAATGGAAACGATTTGTCATGAAACCAAAAGTTTCATTACGTTGCTTAGCTCTGGTACCTCTTACACATGTACATTTAAGGCAAATGGGTTGAATAGTTTCAGATTTACTATAAACCCAGAATCTAGGAGATTAGCTGGGGATGGAGCAATGTAAAATCACTGGGGGGAAGAGGAGGGGTTGGAAAAGGTACCAGGAGAGAGAGGCCTCAGACAGAAAACAAACTCACACTGCTCTGTTGAGCCCTGCTGCTGATCCACAGGCATAAGGCATCCCCAGGCCCACTGCAGCACTTTGCTTTGGGTATGTCCAGACTACCCGCCGTATCGGCGGGTAGCAGTCGATTTATCGGGGATCGATATATCGCGTCTCGCTAAGACGCGATATATCGATCCCCGAATGCGCTCCCCGTCGACTCCGGAACTCCACCGGAGCGAGCGGCGGTAGCGGAGTTGACGGGGGAGCCGCGGCCGTCGATCCCGCGCCGTGAGGACGGGAGGTAAGTCGGAATAAGATATGTCAACTTCAGCTACGGTATTCCCGTAGCTGAAGTTGCATATCTTACATCGACACCGCCCCCTAGTGTAAGCCAGGCCTTTGAGTCAGGATCTCGAAGGGGGATGTGCTCCTGGTGCACTGGAATTGTGGGAGGGGCAGATGCTCCTGGTGGACTGGAATCATGGAGGGGGCGTTGCTCCCAGTGCACTGGAATGGGGGGGGAGGGCTGTTGCTCCTGGTGCACTGGAATTGGGGGGGAGGCTGTTGCTCCCGATGCACTGGAATCATGGGGGGGGGGGATCTTGCTCCCAGGGCACTGGAATCGGGGTGGGGGATGTTACTCCCAGTGCACTGGAATCATGGGGGGAGGGGGGAATCTTGCTCCCAGTACACTGGAATCATGGGGGGCAGGTAGGTGCAGACCAAGCAAGGGTATCCGCATTGTAACACGCCTGCCTGCAGCAGCTTGGGCACTGAACTGCCTCTGGAGTCTGGGGGAAGGGAGGGCAGAAAGGTCAAAGTTCAATCCGAGACAAGAGTCTTCTCCCCACCCCTGGCCCCCAGGAGGTCAAAGAAATCAAGCAGAGGGAAGGGGAAGGGAGAAGCTGAAGTGGTGCATTTGCCCTGCACAGTTTGGCGCTCAGCTGGGAGCAGTGGCTGAGCTGGCAAAGTTGTTTTAACGCAACCCGGCTGTATCTGCTGTGGTATCTTGTGCTCCCTTTTTCCAGCCCCTCTGAGAGCCCCACAATTCTCAGACTGTTTCTCCTGGCGCTTCCCTCTCGCAATCAATACCCTTCTCCTGTAGTGCTTGAATAGGTCTTTCCTGTGGCTGTGAAGTTATGTTCATAGTCCTCACTGTGTCGTCTACCGAGGAGAGTCTGTTCTCAGCTTTCTCTAGTCTCACTGCAACTCTTGCAAGTTAGCTTGAAGTGTACTAGTAAGATTTATGATCTCGGATTATAGCTTCACGTAATCTATCCACTTGAGACTTGTTTTAGCCAGTCCATACATTCATCTAGTCTCAGAGGGGCACATCTCCCTGGTCAGCCATCCTGGCTACAAGAGGGCTGTGCAATGGCTTCTGCTTTTTAGGATTGTGTAGAAAGTCTGGAGATGGTGCAGCATCCCTAATGGCATTAAATTAGAAGCAAAGAGTGGTAGAATAATATCTAATACAAATTAGATGGAAAAAAAGCAATTCAGTTGCTGCTGGCTGTGACTGTTAGGTGGGGAAAGGAGCTGTAAAGCTATGCAGCCCCAGCCCTCTAGTGGCTCCTGGAAGTCTGACCATATTGTGTTATACTGTATCATTCATTTAGCCCTCTTTTTTCAAAATCATTTAAGGGGGAAGAGTCTCAGGTGACTAGAAAGCAAGGAAAGCTAAAGCAGGAGGGGGAATGGAATTCACTTCTTCTCACCACAGCAGTTTGCCACTTGCCACAGAACTTGCTTGTGAGGTGGATGATGCTAGTCTTGCGGGTTCACTTTAGGAATGGCCTCTGACTTCTGCATGTGACCCAACATGTCTTTTAGGATGCAACCACCTTCTTCCTTATGCTGGCACTATGATTACCTCTCTTCCATGGTGTGTGCAGTAATGTGCCACCAGTAGGGAGAGTTGGAAACTACACAACACCCTCGCTATAATGCCCTTCATAATAACGAGAATATAATGAACCTGTTCCCTGGATCCCACCTCCAGCCCTGGGGCTGCAGCGAGGGCTGACAGATCCTCCAGCCCTGGGTCTGTGGTGGGGGCTCAGAGCTGCTCCAGCCCCGTGGCTGCAGCGAGGGCTGACAGATCCTCCAGCCCGGGGCTGCGACGGGGGCTCAGAGCTCCTCCAGCCCCTGGCTTGGATCCCGGGGGGTTCGGTAGAGGAAGCGAGTACTGTACTTAGAGAGTACAGCAGGGGCCAGATAGCTGTCTGGGAGTGAATGTAGTAATGACTAAGACAAAACACACAAAACCCCTTCACGGGAAGCAGGCAGGGTTGAATACTATTCAGCACCTGCTCCTTTAGTTGAGTGTTACCAGTTTTCAGAAAGTAATTGATGAAATGAATCATTTGTGGTGGTACTGAGCATGGTATTTGGCATATATTTGCTGACTGCTGCTGAGAATGAGAATATGCTGCATGCTGTGATCCCAAATAGTGGATCACATCTTAATGGAGAAGTGAGCCCATAGATAACTTCTCGTCCATTCACACCCGTCCAACACCCTGCTGGTGACTCTTGGTACATAACGCGTCTCAGGAATATGCTGTTGTGTCTGTAGGCTCTCTAGTGAGGTCTGTCATTCAGCGTCCTCCTGGTCGTTTATTCGGAGTGAGTCACTTTTGTCTCCTTTTGCTTTTCATCCATCCCTCTCTCCCCTCCCCTCAGTTTCTCTCAGCTGGAAACAAGGGGAGAGCTAGCACCAGGTGACCAGCCAGCTCTCTGCAGCCCACCAACAAATGTTCTTGGGCCACCACAGGTCCACAGACCACAGTTTGGGGACGCTGCTGTAATCAGCCTGGCAAGTGCTTTTTCTTAAGCACTCCCCTGTTGTGTGCCTAACCTGAAGTTCACTTACAGGCCCTGAGAACATTTCAGATCCAAGTGGTAGTCTGGAGCGCAGTACATTTATTCTTTGTTTTTTCCCCTCATTCCTAGGCGATAAATACTGGGTTTTCAAGGAAGTGACAGCAGAGCCAGGGTACCCACACGGCCTGGTGGAGCTGGGAAGCTGTCTCCCCCGGGAAGGCATCGACACAGCTTTGCGATGGGAGCCAGTAGGCAAAACCTATTTCTTCAAAGGCGACAAGTACTGGCGCTATAACGAGGACAAGAGAGCGACTGACCCAGGATACCCAAAGCCCATCACTGTGTGGAGGGGAATCCCACAGGCCCCACAAGGAGCGTTCATCAGCAAAGAAGGCTGTACGTAGAACCCATGATTGCAAGTGTTTGTCAGACTAATACCAGGTCCCCAAGCTTGGGGTTGGGATGTTTCAGATGGTTTTACTGAGCTGGAATTCAGGCCCCAGCGCTCACAGTGCTGTTCTGCCATCAGTGGCCACAGAGGTCGCTAAGGGCTGGAGTCACATGCTGAGCATCACCACACCTAACGTCTAGGTGCCTAGAAAACCACTGGGATTCAACAAGGCTGCGTTAGGTGCCTGAGTGGGGAGAGACAGGCACCTCAGAACGGGATTCATAACGGCCAGCTTGCGAGGCAGCTACTCGCCTAAACTAGCCACTGGGAGGTGCCAAGTCCAGGTGGGTGCTAAGCTCCGCCCCCTCAGAGCTAGGTGTCTAAGTCCAGGCTCCAGGGAGGGGCCGCCCTCTGCTCGGGGGTCTCAGCTGCAAACCCTCTTTTGGGGCGTGGTGCCCATGCTGTTTTAGCAGGCGGGGCAGAGGGAGGAGGCACGCCACAAGTTAGGGTGCTCATGTAGGGTGCGGGAGACCCATGGTGCAAGTGCCCCCTCTGCCTGAGGGGGAGAGGGGATTGGAACAGAAATCTGCCATCCCTCAGGTGGGGGCTGGGCTCTGGGGTATTCCGACGTGGGGACGCCCTCAGTCTCTCTTGTTGAAGCTCTTCCACTAATGAAAGAATGATTGGGCCAGAGAGAGAGCCCAGGCATGAGAAGGACTGTAGTCTGGTGGGGAGAGCACTCACGGGGAGGGGGAGTAGGCAGGATCCCGGCCCCCTGCTCTAATGACGTTTTTAAATTATGTATTCCCAGTGGAACAGCTTCAACAGGCAAGACGGAGGGTGCCCCCCTCAGGCTAGGCCACTGGCCTGAAAGGGGGCAGATCTCTGCTCAAATCCCTTCTCCCCTGCAGGGTGGAATGGAGATCTTCACATCCCAGCTGAGCACCCCGATCAGTTACAAGGGACCCCTCGCCTATGGGGGTCTTGTGTAAGTTTGCCTGGAGGGACCCGATTTGGTAGGTGAGCTTTGGGCCTGCGTATTAGATTGGGCCCCACAGACAAGTTAGACGGAGGAACTCCTTTCTTCCCCCGCTTGGTGGAGTGCTCTGGGATGTAGGCGACCTGATGACTGCAGTGTTTAGATTCAGAGGCAGAAACATAAGCACCTAAGGAATTTTTACTGCAAAAATGTAGGTGCCGAGTGAATTTAGGCACCTACAAGGTTTGGCTACAGCTGAGCAAGGGTTTTGTGAATCCGAATGGGGCCTGATTCTGGGATTTAGGCACCTCACATGGCAGATAGGCACCTAGGTCCTTTTGTGAATCTAGCCCCAGTAACCTGTGACCCACTTCCCTGCCCCATTCAAACAAACACACACCCTCTTTTCCACGACTAAGTCACGTTATTGTATTGCAAGCTCCTTGGAGCAGGGACTCTCTCTCCCTCCGTGTTTGCCCAGTGCCCAGCCCCATGGGCTCCTGCCTGGGGACTATGAGCAATATTTACTTCTCCATCCCTGGCTGCATTGAGCTGACTGTTTCTCTCCCCGCATTGATTTTCTCCTTCATCCTCCAACTCTTCTCCAGCCAACTGGGAAAGAGAAGCAGCTGGCTGGAGTGGAGTCTGTCCTCTGCAGAGGACACAGGCACCCTGCTGCAGTGGATTTTTCTCGAGATGTCAGGAAAGATCCCTGAGCTCCTACAGAGCAGTGGAGTAGGAGCCAGCTAGGCAGGAGCCTGGAAGAGGGGGAGCTGGAATCTTCCCTGCCCTTTGCCCACAGGATGGGGAGAGAAAGACTAAGAAACGGGGGGGGGTGGGAAGCATCTGGAGAGTGAAGGCTACTGCAGTCAAGGAGCAGCTGAAGGCACCAGCCTTTCAGCAACAGAAGTGAAGCTTTTGAAGCCACTGTCCGCCTGGTTAATAACCAAGGCCAAATCTTCCAACAGGTGTGCTCCAAAGAGCTGCTCCTATCCAGGGTCTTCTCCCTCACTGCCCCCTCAGAGCCATATGCATGAAACAAAATATTCTAAAAATATCAACAAACCAATATCCAAATCAGTGCAGATGCTGGGCCCCGCCAATATTGGAATGTTTTTGTAACGTAGAGGAAGTCCCCGAGTGCATCAGGGCAGGCGTGTTGGTGCTTTAGTTGACCATAATTTGCCCCTGAACACTTAGATTAGAATTCCAAATAAACAGCAAATCAGCTGCTTGGCTTTTCCCGTAAACATTTGCTCTACATTCCTCTAAAATCAAGAAATTGCCTTCTGATTTCCAAATTTGCCATGGGAGGTTCCTTATGTATGTTTTTCTTGCCCCCACAGCCTCCTACCATTAGGCAGAGAAATAATGACTGTAAGCGAAACGCCTTTCAGTACCTCTTCGCGCCCATTTGGTTTCAAGTCTTTGAATGTTATGGTATGAAGTGATCTCTCTTTTGTCCCCTAGTTTATACCTACTTCTATAAAGGGAAGGAGTACTGGAAGTTCGATAACCAGAGGCTGAGTGTGGAGCCAGGCTACCCCAGGTCAATCCTCAAAGACTGGATGGGCTGCAACCAAAAGGAAGTTGAACAAAGCAAAGAGAGACGCTTCCCCCACGATGATGTGGATATTATGGTGACAATCAATGATGTGCCTAGCACTGTAAATGCAATTGCAGTAGTTATCCCTTGCATCTTATCTCTGTGTATCCTTGTCTTGGTATATACCATCTTCCAGTTTAAAAACAAAGAAGTGCAGCAAAACGTTACCTATTACAAACGACCTGTCCAGGAATGGGTATGACACGTTCACCTGCACATTTCAGCTCAGAGCTGCGCAAATGAGTTCCGAAGTCCATCAAACAAAACTGTTCAAGCGACTTATTATGAGTCATGGGAGTTCTGGGACTGAAAGAAGCAGGAAATACAGAGGTGGCCTTGCAGAGTGGAGCCTCTTTCCTTCTTACTGCCTCAGTCATGTGTCTGTCTTGCTGTGCCATTCTCCACAGGCCCCCTTGTGCGTGTCAGAGACTGCAAGAGGAATTTTCTTGAAATGTTTTTCAGCTGACTTGGGAAACCTTCTTCAGTGCCCTGCTCCAGTGGTCTCTGTTAAACCCAGCATTCTCCAGTGTAGCTAACCACCTCTAAATGGACCAGGTTTTTTACAGTTGTCTCATAAATGAATTAAGATAATTAAATCTATGAAACGGGAACAATTCAGTATCTTAAGGAGAAGACATGCTGATGCTGAATCATTCCAAAAGATCTTCTTAGTTTATTACAAGAACCAGGGAATTACCTGGATGCAATTTTCCAATACCTGCTGGTCAGATGTTTTGTACATTCATAATAATTGATGCCGTCACTCAGCACAGTGCACAAGGAGGAGGTAATTCGGTGTAGGCCAGGAGTTCAAGGAACTCTTAACTAGATATAGTAACAGCAACTCCTCAGTTGAGTTAGTCCACAAGACAAAGACCAAAACACTCCCTACTGTTAACACAGCCCTAAATGCTTTTGTTTTAGGAACCTCTCATGTAATGAATATTTAAATGTCATATTACCACTATTTGAAATTCCCATCAGTCACAAACAATAAATTGTTACCAAAACAATGAACAATTTATATAAGAACTCTGCTGTATTTTATCTGAAAATTCTGGGAAAAGATGAAGTGTTGTTATAGTGGCATGTATAATCAGATTCTGAAATTTGCCTCTCAGGTTTCAAGAGAATGAAAATGCTTGTTTGGAGGGAAATCTTCATTATAGTTAGGCAAAATGGTCTGGATAAAGTAAGAACTATGCCTGTGCCGAAAACATGAAAACATTATATAACTTTGAAAATTATTTTTCATTTTTCACTCACCTCTTCACACTCAAGTAGCTGGCCAAAAGGTGGAATGCCAAAGTACGGTGAGAAAGCTTGTTTTCACAGGATGACTAGCACAGTTCTGAAGATGAGAGACTCAGCTAAGAGCTGGATAAATATCTGAATTTTGGGTACTGAGCTTTGACAAATCTCCTTCTCAGACAGCAGTCGTCTGTTCTTCCCTCTTGTAAATGTGAATGCTTGGGGATGTCATGTCCTAACTAGAGCCTTCCTTAATCAGATTTTCCATGCTGGTATCCAAACAATATGTTAAATGGCTATGAAAGAAAATGAACGCAGCACTTCTGTTAGCATTCCAGGACATTCAGCCCTGTGCAGAGAAGCCCATAGCAGCCCTAGGCAACACTTACACATCACTTGTGTCATGTTTGGAGAGCTTAACTGGGATGTGAGTGGGCCCCTAGTCCTAGAGTGGGCCTTCTGCCTTGGGCTGAATTTCGCCAGTGTAGCTGATGAAGCAAGAAGCATTGAACTGCTGATTAGCATTCAACAATGTGGATCTCACCATTTGTTTCACTTGTTTCTTTTAGCACATGATTCAGGTTATAAGTATTGATGATGACAAGAGCAGGGCAGGAAGAAAGAGAGAGATTGTTAGTGTTTGTCTACTTTTATATGCCTGGCTTGGACTCAGATACTACCGCGAAGGGGGCGGTAGAACTTTCAGTGACTGATTTGAATTGCACATTGTGTGGTCTCAGACTGTTTTGTATTTTATACTTTATAACGCACTTCAGTTGCCAAGAAACGAGTGCGTCTTCAACAGAATTATAAAATCAGTGGGAGAACTTGGTAGATGTAACATATTTGAATTTTAGTGAAAGATGTGATGGAGTCTCCGGATGTCTGAAGGACTGCAAACAAAGGACCAAATAAGGCCAGACCTAATCACTAACCACCTCTCCCCAACTCAGTATGTTGCTATGTGTACTACACACATGGTGGTGACATGCACATTATAAGTTCCAGCACCATGTGCCACATTGCATTTACCATGCACTTTACTATTCCTCTGAGTAGCTCCAGACAGACACCAGTTGAAAATATTTCTCTCATTTCCCTTCTGCCCAAATCTGGAATTCTCCCTGCAAATGACACTGGCCTCTGGGGAATACTGCGGGTGTCTTGGACCAGCGACAGGTATAAGGCTGGCTATCTCCTGAGCCAGCAGGGCTGGAAATGTTTGCTTTATCCCATTAGAAAGCCAGAAAATCCCCTTGCCAATGAGGTAAGGCTTCTGGGACATATTTTTAGACTGGCCTTCATTTATGCTGGAATATTGGTATAGAAGGGTACAACTTGCTCAGGAAGGACAGTCAGGGAAAAAAGGGAGGAGGTGTTGCCTTATATATTAAAAATGTATACACTTGGACTGAGATTGAGCTGGAAATAGGAGACAGACTTGTCGAAAGTCTCTGGGTAAGGATAAAAGGGATAAAAAACAAGGGTGATGTCAGGGTGGGGGTCTACTACAGACCATCTAACCAGGAAGAAGAGGTGGATGAGGCTTTTTTTTAAACAACTAACAAAATCATCCAAAACACAGGACTGTGTGGTGATGGGGGACTTCAACTACTCCGACATCTGTTGGGAAAATAACATCGCAGGGCACAGATTATCCAACAAGTTCTTGGAATGTATTGGAGACAATTTTTTATTTCAGAAGGTGGAGAAAGCTACCAGGGGAGAGGCTGTTCTAGATTTGATTTTGACAAAGAGGGAGGAACTGGTTGAGAATCTGAAAGTGAAAGGCAGCTTGGGTGAAAGTGATCACGAAATGGTAGAGTTCATGATTCTAAGGAATGGTAGGCGGGAGAACAGCAAATAAAGACAATGGATTTCAAGAAAGCAGACTTTAGCAAACTCAGGGAGTTGGTAGGTAAGATCCCATAGAAAGAAAGTCTAACGGGAAAACAATTGGAGACCGTTGGCAGTTTTTCAAAGAGACATTATTAAGGGCACAAGAGCAAACTATCCCACTGTGTAGGAAAGATGGGAAGTATGGCAAGAGCCTACCCTCCGTAACCAGGAGATCTTCAGCGATCTAAAAATAAAAAAAAGAGTCCTACAAAAAGTGGAAACTAGGTCAAATTACAAAGGATGAATATAAACAAATAACACAAGTATGTAGGCACAAAATTAGAAAGGCCAAGACACAAAACGAGATCAAACTAGCTAGAGACATAAAGGGTAACAAGAAAACATTCTACAAATACATTAGAAGCAAGAGGAAGACCAAGGACAGGGTAGGCCCGTTACTCAATGAGGGGGGAAAAACAATAACAGAAAATGTGGAAATGGCAGAGGTTCTTAATGACTTCTTTGTTTTGATTTTCACCAAGAAGGTTGGTGGCTATTGGGCGTCTAACATAGTGAATGCCAGTGAAAATGAGGTTGGAACAGAGGCTAAAATAGGAAAAGAACAAATTAAAAATTACTTAGACAAATTAGATGTCTTCAAGTCACCAGGGCCTGATGAAATGCATCCTAGAATACTCAAGGAGCTGACTGAGGAGATACCTGAGCCATTAGCAATTATTTTGGAAGATGGGAGAGATTCCAGAGGACTGGAAAAGGGCAAATATAGTGCCCATCTATGAAAAGGGAAATAAGAACAACCTGGGGAATCACAGACCAGTCAGCTTAACTTCTGTACCAGGAAAGATAATGGAGCAAATAATTAAACAATTTGCAAACATCTAGAGGATAATAAGGTGATAAGTAACAGTCACCATGGATTTGTCTAGAACAAATCCTGTCAAACCAACCTGATACATTGTCAACGAAAGATAACAAGCCTTGTGGATGGGGGTGGAGAGAAGTGGTAGACATGGTATATCTTGACTTTAGTAAAGCTTTTGATACTGTCTCGCATGACCTTCTCACAAACTAGGGACATGCAACCCAGACAGAGCTACTATAAGGTGACTGCATAACTGGTTGGAAAAACATTACCAGATTAGTTATCAGTGGTTCACAGTCATGCTGGAAGGGCATAATGAGTGGGGTCTCGCAGGGACCAATTCTGTTCAATATCTTCATCAATGATTTAGATAATGGCATAGAGTTTATACACTTATAAAGTTTGTGGATGATATCAAGCCGGGAGGGGTTGCAAGTGCTTTGGAGGATAGGATTAAAATTCAAAATGATCTGGACAAACTGAAGAAATGGTCTGAAGTAAATAGGATGAAATTCAATAAGGACAAATGCAAAGTACTCCACTTAGGAAGGAACAATCAGTTGCACACATACAAAATGGGAAATGACTGCCTAGGAAGGAGTACTGCAGAAAGGGATCTGGGGGTCATAGTGGATCACAAGCTAAATATGAGTCAACAGTGTATCACTGTTGCAAAAAAAAAAACCGAACATCATTCTGGGATGTATTAGCAGGAGTGTTGTAAGCAAGACACGAGAAGTAATTCTTCTGCTCTACTCTGCGCTGATTAGGCCTCACCTGGAGTATTGTATCCAGTTCTGGGTGCCACTTTTCAGGAAAGATGTGGACAAATTGGAGAAAGTCCAAAGAAGAGCAACAAAAATAATTTAAGGTCTAGAAAACATGAGCTATGAGGGAAGATTGAAAAAAATTGGGTTTGTTTAGTCTGGAGAAGAGAAGACAGAGGGATATGCTAACAGTTTTCAAGTACATGAAATGTTGTTACAAGGAAGAGGGAGAAAAATTGTTCCTCTTAACGTCTGAGGACAGGCCAAGAAGCAATGGGCTTAAATTGCAGCAAGGGAGGTTTAGGTTGGACATTAGGAAAAACTTCCTAACTGTGAGGGTGGTTAAGCACTGGAATAAACTGCCTAGGGAGGTTGTAGAATCTCCATCATTGGAGATTTTTAAGAGCAGGTTGGACAGGCACCTGTCAGGGATGGTAGATAATATTTAGTCCTGCCAGGAGTGCAGGGGACTAGACTAGATGACCTCACGAGGTCCCTTCCAGTTCTATGATTCTATGCTGGTATAAATAATAGTAGCCACAGTTTTCTGCTGTTAAGTTTTTGCAGGCAGTTTAGGTCACTTATGCCACTGTCCCTGATTTGTGGGTACAATTTGGGACTCTCACAGTTGACACCTAAATTTTGGGACAATAAGTGCTCGCAAAACTGTGTGCAATGTTTTACATTTGCAAGTCTGCATTTGCTAAAATGGGAGCTTGGTAACAGTCAGGCTGAAATGCCACACTTTCGTCTAGCCCTGGTAGATCACAAGATCTCTGGCCTTAATATGAATGGAAAAGCTATTGTCATTTATTGTAGATGTTTTTAAAATACATCAGCTATTTCTCTCTCCCCTCTGAACCATACAATTGCATTCATGTTGCTATGGCCATCTGGCTATGGATATGAAATATACTGCCAGTAAGTGTTTTCCGAATTTTTTAAGGCATATGTAAACTACAGTTTCTGTAAACTATCTGACATCTAAAAACACATGACTGGCGTAGTACCTGGATGGAGGGTTTAATGGCATTTGCTGGGATGATCTGTGTAAGTGACTATCCCAAACTCATGCATTGCTCTACAGTCTCTATTATTCTTGCATCTGTGCTCCCCTATTCTCCAGAGCACAAGCTGAAAGGGACAGGATGAGTAGAGCCCTGCAAAGCTGCGGATAGCCGCACCCACACAGGCGGTTGTATTGTTTACCATCTTTGCAGCTCAGCAGTGCCGCCAAATGTTTGCATCGGCGCAGGACTCTAGAATTGGTGTCAGTGGAAACACAAATGTGAGCACATGTGCATGATGCTGCTGAGACATTTGGTTACACTCCTCTGCCTGGCCTCAACTTCGCTTGTGGCAGCAGTTACCAGGTGGCTGCAATCCAGGATCAGGGGCTCGTTTCCCGGCCTGCAACTCCCCCTTGCTGGCTTTCGGCAAATATTCTCACACGGAGACTGGTCAAAACTCCGGCGTCCCCTCCCCTGGGCAATTCGGACACTTCACCATGTGCTTGGCTGCAAACTGAGACAACCAAAATAGCAGTTTCTCACAGAGCAGCAAGGTCAGTTCAACATTGACTTGCCTCTGTCTGAGCTGGCTCAGACCCTCCCCCCCTCCCCGTGGGCTGTGCCCTGCTGCAAGATCACCTCTCCCAGGATGCAGCTCAGCCAGCGGGAAGGCCCCAGTGCATAGTGGGAGATGTGGTCCAGCCCGGGAATCCTGCCCATAGAGAACAGGGGCACAAGGCACCCAGCACTTCGGATTAATGTTGAAGTTTAGAGTGACCAGATAGAAAGTGTGAAAAATGGGGACGGGGGGTAATAGGCACCTATAGAAGAAAAAGCCCCAAATATCAGGACTGTTCCTATAAAATCGGGACAGCTGGTCATCCGATGTTGAACTGACCCAAACCGAAATATTTCTATTCGCATCAACCTGACCCCAAAGGAAATATTTGGGATCAATGGAAAAGTCTCAGCAAATTCCCTTGTGGAAAAGGCATTTTCTGTTGAGAAATCACATTGGCCTCTCTGACCTTCCCCTTCCCCGCACAGCCATTGCTCTTCAACTCCAACCATCCCCAGAGTCCCCTCTGTGTCCCTCCCCCCCAGGGTCCTGGACCCTCCCCCACAAAGCCACCTTCCCCCCACCATGCCTCAACAGAGCACCTCTCTACATTTCCTGAGTGCCCCGATGCTGCAAACTTCCCAACAGTGCCCTCTAATGGGAGCGGGGGGTGGCGGGGGAACACAACCATTGCGATCTCCCAAACAAAATCACCCCAGAATGGATGCTGCACTCGTAAATCCTGCCGCCAAATAGGTCTGTTCTGCAACTCCCACCCACAAACACAAGCCTCCACTCTACTCCCTGCCTCCCCCTTCCTTGCTGGTTCACAGCCCTGCCCCCCTTCCCACGCCCATCACTGGATCACAGCACAGCCCCCCTCCAGTCCCTTTCACTCTTCCACCTGGGCCACAGCTCCACCTCCCCATGGCAGAGTGGCATTGGCACACAGCCCTTATCTTCCCACCCCCATACCCCTTCAACTCTCTGTAAGGGGGCTGTTGGCCCTATACTGAAACTTAGTGGTGATGGGGGTGTTGGTTGGCCCTCTCCCAGTACCAGGAGAAAGGGCCAAAGAGGCATCAGGATCCTGAGATTGACAGTCCCCAGGGCCAGTGAGGAGAAGCCAATTCTCCAAGTCAGCTGGATTGACAGGGCAGGCAGGCCAATGAGGCAGTCACAAGCCCGGGGTCCCATTCTCCATGTGAGCTGGGGCTAGGGTGACCAGACAGCAAATGTGAAAAATCGGGACGGGGTGGGGGGGTAATAGGAGCCTATCTAAGAAAAAGACCCAAAAATCAGAACTGTCCCTATATAACCGGGACATCTGGTCACCCTAGCTGGGGCTGCCAGGGGCAGAGTAGAGCAGCTGCCCAGAACTGGGAGCTGGAGCAGCGCGGAGCCAGGACCACGTTGCGGTGGGAGCCATGGGCCAGAAGTGAGATAGCAGACGCTGACGATGTCCCACACATAGTGCCCCATCCACCCAGTTACCTCCTTTCGTGCCAATCGCCTTGTGGGTTTTGATGGACAGGCCTGGGCTCTTCTCTAGCCTGCTTCTGCTCAGCAGGGTGCAACTTTCTGATTTTCTTCCCCAATGAACTTATTCAGCAGTGTCGCCAGCCCGCTCCCTTCCTCTCCCGCCCCCGCCTTCCTGGCAGGGTCACCAGGGCCACGTGGAAAGGAAATTCTAACTATAGGGCAACTCCACTTTCATGCCAGATAGTTGGCGACTCCCAAGAAATAACACAAACACACATACATACATGCTTTGAGGAGAACGTGGGCCAACCTTCTCCTCCCACCAAAGCAGCATGTCAAAAGGTGCAAGGAGACGAAGGAGAGAGCCTTGCTAAGCACCTCTGGGGAAGGGCAGAGCCCAACTCCACAGGCAAAGGCTCGCAGCCATTTGTTCTAACTGCAGGTTCTTTTCATGGGAGCTGCCCCAATGGGGATCACAGACATTATGTCGTTGGCAGGTCTTCAGTAACAGGCCTTCCTCTGCAATGTGGGGAGCACATATATCTGACAGCTAAGAGGGAGCAGCTGTCCCAATGCTTCGTTATTACACTCTCTGTAGGGCCCATGGCTCCCGTGTTAGAAGTATATGGGAACTGAAAAGCATGGCCGGGGGGGGGGGGGGGGGGGGGGGGGTCACTTGGTTTTTTCTCTCCAACATGAATCCCAGAGGCACCCTTTGCTTTCAGAGGCCTGGCTGCCCCACTGGTTCCTTATCACTCCTGGATTGTCCCTTATGAGGCAGCTTTGTTTGTAAGCAGAACTGACACCTACTTGCCCTTTGATACGCTTGTTTCCCCACTCCAAAGGGACAGCTTCAGGATGCGGGGGTGGGGACACAGAGCAGCTGAGTTCAGAAAGGCACCAGACACAGCCACAATCTTTGGTGCTTGCAACCTCAGACCTTTTCTGTAAAGCTACAGCCAGGGCAAAGTAGCCTACGGCCATCTGGCCGGGGAAGAACCGTCTAGCAAAAGGAGAGAGGAAGCATTATGCTCTTTCATTAAGCCATTTTAAGTGTGTTTTAAAATCTATTGTTGTGTGATAGAAAATCACTCCCTTTTATAGGAGAAAAATCCCGGGGGGGGGGGGGGGGGGGGAGAGGAGGGTGTCAGTGAACAGCCCAATGCAAAGAGAGACAGACCAGAATTGAAGTGTGAACAGAAGCATCTTTAGCTGCTGTAAGAGCCCAAGTCAGCTTCACCAATAGACAAGCTCTAATGTTACAGATTCCGGCAGTGCTGAGATCACTAAAAGGACAGGAAAATGGCAGCCGGCGACACAGAACACTTCATATTTATAACTCATTCATGCTGTTTGCCAGGTGTTTGTAGTAGGAAGTAGTTAACAGAACATTAAAAATATTGGTTATGCGGCACCCTCCCAGCAGGGCCCACAGAAATGATAGTAGAAGGGTCTGGTGTCCTTAATCCAGAAAGCAGATGAAGCAGGAGCCTGGCACTCTGCTCCTTGGTCAGAGCCGCGCTTCTCATGTCAAACTAGAAAGGAAACAGAAATCAGGTTTAACAAATGGAGAGCAGGTAAGGGCAGCCGGCATCTCCAGCTGCAGCACATCAATCTCTTCAGCGACCAGCTTTCTGCCCTGTAATTCCTGAGGGTTGTCTTAGAACGTGAAGTTACAGAAATCAAGGGCAATATTGAACAGTGCACTGGAGCAAAGGAGAGCTCACATCCAGATTCACCAGGCCAGCAAGAACATGGGCCGTCTCCAGCATTCTCAGCCTTGCCTGGGGACCTGCATAGCCCCCAGAGAAAGTTCAAGCAGCCTCAGGATTGCTCTGACTTATGCTCAGTTGCACCCACCCATTAAACCAGGAGCTGTGGAGCGGCAGCATGGAACTGTTTCACTCGATATCCCCAAGGACCATTCCTGTGGGCTGGCATAAAGGGACCTTTCAACTGGAGTGGCATAGAGGAGCCACAATGGAAGCGAGGACCCAGCCACTAAACTGTGAGCCCTCAGGCAGGGACGTGTCTATGTAGCTTGTCCACACACCGCTGGCACATAAAGGAGGTACAACCATAATCATAAGGCAGGTAAAGAGACTTGGTTCCTAGCCTTTGTAAATTTCCAGTTCATTTAGAAAATTTATTTTCATAGGGCCTTTCAGCTCAAAGGATTCCAAAACCCCTTATAAACTTCATATACAAGGACCCCTATATAGCCACCACTGGGGAGGACCATGGTGCACCACACCCCCACTCAGGCCAGGACAAGGAACCGCATACTTACACCTAGGAAGATTGTTTAAAAGCCCTTTAAGGCAGCAGAAATACATCTGACCCATTGCTGGGCCCAAACTGTTTTTTCAATTGAGAACTTTTGAAAAATCCCAGATCTTCAGTAGAGTCTCTACTATCACATCGGTGAAGTCCCTGTCAGTCCTCAAACAGTGACAAGCCCAGTTAGTGAAAGTCGGACCCAAGATATACAGCTGCATCTGCACTGCAAAAGCCTCCCACCAATGTCCCACAGTAGGTGCTCATCCACCAACAGTAGCAAGTGATGACAACGGTGGTCATCATCACTAACACGGTGGGCGAGTCACAGCTGTGTAAATGGTTACGGTCTTAGATTAGTTTAACTTGGATAAAAACCTTCCAGAACACACAAACTGGAGAAATAAAGGGCTGGGGGTACCAGCCAGGATGGCCTTGGGAGAATGAATGTGCTAAATTTAAACATGAAGAATTTTTAAACTATCAAATTTTATTCATAAGAAGAACATAAGAACAGCCATACTGGGTGACACCAAAGGTCCATCTAGTCCAGTATCCTGTCTTCCGACAGTGGCCATTGCCAGGTGCCCCAGAGGGAATGAACAGGTAATCAACAAGTGATCCATTCCCTGCCGCCCATTCCCAGCTTCTGGCAAACAGAGGCTAGGGACACCATCTTGGCTAATAGCCATTGATGGGCCTATCCTCCATGAATTTATCATCTACTTTTTTGAACCCTGTTATAGTCTTGGCTTGGTCAAACTTGGATAGTTTTGCAGATCTCACAGATCCAGAATTCCAGCCCAGTTTGAAGGAAACCAATTCAGTCATTTTAAAAGCTATGAATGTTTTATGTCACACACCACTGAGAAGTGCACTATTTAGCTATGCATCCATGTGCATATATACAGGCTTAATGGAAAAATCTAGCACACATCTTCAGCACATTGTTTTCAAATGCTCAGAACTTCTGGTTAATCAAAACCAATGTGTTCCCTTGCAAACCAAGCAAAGGTGCTGGTCCTTAAAGACTATATCCAGGCCAAGGTTCAAGCTTCAGTCATTTTTGTTTTACTAGGTCTAAAACAGTATGGGGAAAATGCTTGTAATGACTGCACGTCTCACTCCCTGTTCTCAAAAACAGCTGAAGGGTTTTTGCTCAAAAATAAAATTAATCTTCAGGGGGAAACAAGCATGGAAAATTTCAGCCCATACACTAAATTTTCTAGAAGATGAGCATGTGAAAATTGAGGACAGAGCTTGGAAACTAATTATAGTGAGAATTAGTAGGTTCCCATTATGTCATAGAGGTAATAAGAGCCCTAAGCATGCTTATGAAAGTGACTAACAGAAAAAGCTACAAGTAAGAATTAAAGAAAATAGAGCTTGTATCTTTTTAATTTTTGACAAAACTTAGAATCTAAAGAAAAGCCGATGGAAAGAAACGAATCCTGGAAAACAAACCCTGGCTAGCTCGTCTTCGCTAACGTTTTTGCAGGTTTTGAAGATGCAGCTGCACAGTATGCGATGCCACCTACCTGTCAATCAAGGAATCTCTCATGCTGGTAGCAATGGTACTTGGCTGCGCTTCGTTCAGTTTGAAGATGCTCTCGATAACCGATAGCTCTGTGCTGGTTGTGTCCAGCCCACAGAAGGCACACCAATCGTTCACAACCATCCCTGCAGCAATAACCTCACTGCCACGATTTACTGTTCCAGCCTGGCAAAACCAAACAGGGAGAGAAAGGGGTCAGCACAAGACCACAGAGACTGCTAATCAATTATACTTTATCGCATTGCTAGTCACCAGGGAAGGGCACCAGCCCAAACTATCCCGCAGCCTCCTGTCACCACAATGCTTACAGTAAGAAACTGACCGGGACACAGTTTTGGGCTGAAGCATGGTAGTTTTTTCATATGGGTTCCATCCATAAGCAGACCTATATGGGTAATGCTGGTTCAACTATTTGCATCTATATAACTGGACAATGTAATATTTGGTTATTTAAAATTCTGTTCAGGAGACAGTGGATCCTTCTGCTGAAAGGTGGACCAAGGTCCCGAGGAACAGGGGACAATGTACAGTCATTATTCCCCACATCCAGTCTCTTGCCCCTCTGCTCAATTGCTAAACTTTAGATCAGCTCCTAATTCAGGTTTCTAACCTCTGGCTTAAAAACTTAAATACTGCCCAGTGCTCCTGGGGCATGGTGGCTGGGCTGGGAAGCAGTGGGTTCCCTATGTAGTCCCAGAGCAGGAGCTGTCACTTCCCCTTTCAGCCCAACTGCTGCACACCAGATTTATGCTACAGAGACCTCTGATTCCAAAGCAATTAAAGCAACCACTGAACTAGAGAACTAACAATGCTAAGCTACAAATAAAACCAGACAGCTTCTGAAGGCAGCGCTGCAATAAACGTATTCTCTCTCTCTCTTGCTGGAGGAAAATACACTTTAGAAAAACTAAATTGAAGGCGTTAATAGGACAGCTGACCTCTTTAAAAAAAGAAAAGCAGAACAAGAGCAAAAGCAAAGCGGCATTTAAACCCAGAGGAGAAATTTACTGCACAGAAATCAAGCAGAACACAACAGATGGGAAACTAAACTCTACAGCTATGCTGAAGGTGACAAATCGGACTGGGGACTAACTTGCCACCACGTGGTTCAAAGGGAACGCAATTCTATCACTGGAATTTTAAAAAGGCCAGTAAAGGCCAAATCACATCACTCCTTCCCCACACTCCAAGAAGATGACAACAAGCTACAAGGCAGATCTCTCGTTAGCCATCAGAGTGCAACACCTTGTGAACAGGCAACATGTCCTATGCAGTCCATTCAACTTCACTCCGGCAGCAAACCCAGAACAGCATGGTACTGCCTTCCAGGCCATCTCCTCCCCTCAGTGCAATCAGCACAGGGTCACAGCACTGTTCACACTGATTTATTTTACTACCCCAACTTTGTTTGCCAGAGACTTTAGCACTGAAACATACAGTTGAATTTTAGAAGTTGGAGTGGGAAGTTTTGGCAGCTGGGGCATTTGGTACCCAGAAGACTTGAGAGGCTATTTGGGGGAGGAGGAAAGAGACACTATTGAGAGGGAACAGCTTCTTTTCATGTGGGCAGCGGTGAAACGAACAAGTCCACACTCTACAACTGCTTGATAAAAGCTAGACGAGGAAAACAATGCAGCTGGGGGAAGGACACAACATGGAGGCTGGGAAGATCCAAACCTCTCCAACAGTTAGAAGACTCCGGGGTGGGAAGGGAGAGAGAAAGCACAAGTCTACAAATGCCTTACCACAAGTGGGACTTGCAGCAGTGAGGAGAGCTCATCCTGGTCTTCAGTTGAAGTCTTTGGGTGCACAAGTCCTCCCTGGTTACTAAAAGCACAGTAACTTCCTACCAGAACCTGGTCTGCAACCGTCTGTCTGAAAACTTCTACTTTGAGCACATCTGCCAAGATCTCTTCAGTCTCCTGTAAATACATAAAATGAGAAGTGTGTGTCCTGGGCACAAATGTTAACTCAGAATATTATGTAAAAACCCCATGTCTGTTGAGCTGGGAGCAGAGCTACGCTTGGGAGAAAACTTGCTCAGGGTGTTTCGGAAGAACCTGTTCTGACTTTCAAGAGCTCAGATTTTCATTTTGTAGGTATATTAACTACACCTGCTGTTAGGTCCAACAACAAAAAACAATTAGCACTCCACCATTCTCCTCCTTGACTTCAACACAGTCAACCATGCTTCTCATCTTCAATCTTACCCGCCCGTCCATGATTTGGTCATTTAGGAAGTTGAAGCTAGACTGGAAATATGGTGTAAATTTTTAACGGTGAGAGTAATTAATCCTTGGAACAATTTACCCAAGGTGTGGTGATTCTTCATCACTGAATGTTTAAATCAAGACTGGATGTTTTTCTAAAAGACCTGCTCTACGAATTATTTTGGGGAAGGTCTCTAGGTCAGACTAGATGATCACAGTGGCTCCTTCTGGCCTTGGAATCTATGAATCGTCAACTATCAATTTTATGTTACAATTCCTCACAGACCCACCTCTCCACTCCAGATCTGTCATCTTCTAGTCCATCTAAAACCTCAGCCGGTATCTCAGGTTTCCTGGTGAGTGTCCAGCTGTCAGCTTAAGCTTAATATGACCAAAACAGAGCTCTTAACCTTTCATCAAAAATCCTCCCCCTCCTTGTGGGTAACACCACCATCTTCCCTGCCACCTGGGCATCATCTTCCACATGGCCCTCTAGACTGACACATCCACGTGTCTGCATGTTGCCGCTTTTTCCTGCAAAAGACCTAAGACCACCTTTCTTCTCTAGCCATACAACTAAAGCCCTTGTCTAGCCTCTCACCATCTCAATTACTACAACCTGCTCCACTCCAGCCTTGACAAATCGCTTCTCACTTCACTTACAGCTATTCAAAACATGGCTGCAAAGGTAAGCTTTCTTGGCGCCTCCTTTTTCCTGGCGCCTCCTTTCGACTGTCACCCCTCTTTGCATCTCCATCCCCCTGCTCCATCACAGCAAACACAAACTATTTGCATTCATTTTCAAGGCCCCCTTCACAGCCTATCCCCACCCAAGCTAGCATCTCTGATATGAATATCGAGATGTTGACTCAACTCCATTCTGCCAATAATGCCAGTCTCTACCACCCACTTGTTAAACTTTCAAACAAGCACCCCCTACTGTCACCTCTGCTGCCCTACACACGGGAGAAACTTGTAAACCACCACAAAGCCATCTCCCTCTTTGTCCTCTTTCATGCTCCCTTCTGCTGTGATGTCTCCAAAACCTGAAGTTAGGCAGCGGGTGGCCTTAGACCACTGTCTATCATGCTGACCAATATTGTCTCATTGTTTCCTTTTACCCCCAACCTCTTTGTTGTATTTGACTGTCTTTTGCCTTCTACTCAGATTGAAGCTCTTTGGGGCAGGATCAGGACTGTCTCGGTTCTGTTTGTGCAGCACCTAGCACAATGGGGTCCCAAAGGTGCTACTGTAAAACAAGCAATAACAACAGGTCAAGAGGTGAGATCACCAGCACAGAGAGAACCTTTTCCCTAGTCCAGGTGCTGAATGGAACATGTACTTGCTCAATGGGAACAGGTGGAAGAATTACATTGTCTCTTCTTTCAAGCATGGATTTCAAATCCAATAGTTAGCACTAGTCTTTGACAGCCCTCACTGACAAATTTGATTAGTAGTTGTCCAATTTATAACCTTGTGTAAGCGGAGGGAGGGGAACATCAATTGTGCAACAGCCTAGCAAGGAAAGACACTCCGACACCAGAACGCAGAACAAATATTGCCTCCACCAATACTCTGCACTTTTACATCATCTGTTATCCAAGGATCTCAAAGCATTTTTCAAGTTGGAGCATTAGATTCTTCATCTACTGTAAGTTCTTTGGGGCAGGGAGCCATGTCCTCATATGCGTTTGTACAGCCCCAAGCACAATGTAGCCCTGATCCTGACTGGTCTGTTGAATGATTAAGACACCTGCGGGGTATTATCTCCTGAGGCATACAGAAAGCTAAATGACTAGCCCAACATCACACAGGGAGTCTGAGGCAGAGCTAAGAACAGAATCAAGTCTCCTGACTTGCAGCACTGGACTTCAGCCACAAGATCATCCCAGAACGAGTGTATTACAGAGAACACACTTTTCTGGGCCGTTTGTTAATCAGCTTTTTGTGGACAGACTGGAAGATGCCCAGCAGCATACGAAACAAGGAGCTATTCCTACAAGGGGCTCCTATGGCTCTGCACTTCACTTCTCCTAGACACCTTCACCTAGGGACACAGGTCCCACTGGAGACCCTGCTGGACCCCTACATTACCCTGAAAAATATGAAACTGGCCTAAGGAGAGAAACTGGCTAAGTGAGGCAGTGAAGGAGACAAATGGCCCCAGGAAAGGAATTTGATAGACCAAGAACCAAATCAGTTTGCAGTAATGAACTTGTTTAATGAGAACAGAAGTGTTGGCAGACCGTGCTCCCAGGCAGGGTGGAAATTCACTTGGCAGGAACCAACCAACACAATACTGGCTGCACTCTGCTAGCAAGGAAACACACAATTCAGGTTCTAGCAGCTTTTCCTCAGCCCCAGCCGCTCAAACTCTCTAATCATCTCCCATTTCAATTTCACAACCTTCCTCTATCTGAACTCCCTGGCACCCACTGTCCCCTCAATCCAATCAAAACACTGCCTCCAAGGATCTGCCCTGCCAAATCTTGCCATATTACCCCCTCCTCGCATCTCTCGTTTGACTGCCTGTTCTCAACTGCATCATGTTCTCCTATTCGTTTCAAAACCGTGTACAGCTCTGCTCCTGCCTATGCCTGTAACTTAATCTCTTACCCTGACTCCTCAACCACACCATGACAGCCCTTGTGCTTCCGGGTCCCTGACTTCCAGTTCTCTGCTTTCTTCCATGCTGTACATCAGGATACAAGCTCACTACCCCTTCCCTCACTCAAATCCCCCTAAAATCCAACTCATCCACATTGTCCACAGTGCATCCAGAGAAAAGATCAGTTGCAGTTTAGCCATCCAGATGCACACATGCCTCAAGTGAGTAACCACCTGATACTGTCATGACAGCTCCCCTCCATTCTATTACCTCTCCATTAATCCCAGTACAGGCAGTCCTCGACTTTACGACATTCGACTTACAAAGCTTCTGAATTGACACCCTCATATGATTTATGACAACTGGTTTCAACTTCACAATGCCCGGTCCCGCAATGGAGTGGATTGCGGTTCCAAGTTACAACTTACGACACAATTTTCAGGAACCAATTGTGTGGTAAGTCCAAGGACTGCCTGTATGTTGAACACTACATTGTAAACTCTTCAGGGCAGAGCTTGTCTTTTTATCTGCCCTATAAATAAGGATTATTGAAAGGGAGAATGAAGGGCACTCGAAGCTGAATCTTGAGGCAGCCTTTTAGAGCAGAAGTCAACTCCTCTGCTGAGAAGAATGAAAGGCTAGATAAAGCAGGTTCCCCTGATGTAAAATGCTATTAGCCTGCAGCCTCGTGTTACTCGGCATGAACTGGAAATGTTCATAGCGATCCCCAATAACTATGAAGTCTAGCTCTAGGGTGGGGTTCGCTTTAAAGGTCTGCACTGAACTTGTAAAAGAACAAAAGCCATTTACCCTGTCAAGGTCTGGATGGACAAGTGCTACATAGTCATTGCATGTGGTGACATTGCCCAAAGCTGAGAGCCGCTCCTCCACCCTTTGGATTCGGACGGAGTCTGGCAGGCTGTTGCGGATGTGCTGAAGCTCCTGGTCTGTTGTACTGCTTGGGACCAACAGTCCATGCCGGTTCCCTAAAAGAAAAAAGGAGTTCTGCTTCAGACCAAGTCAAAGGTGTTCACCCGCTGGGCTTGTCCACTTCCTAGCCTTCAAACAACCTGGCCTCGGGGCTCCTCAGGCTCACCCAACACCTCCCCAACATACAGCATGACTGAGGCAAAGTTCCCGTTAAAAAACAAGCCAGCACCCAGGGGTTAGAGTCAGAAAAAATGGTTACCTACCTTTCGTAACTGTTGTTCTTCGAGATGTGTTGCTCACGTCCATTCCAAGTAGGTGCGTGCGTGCGCTGCGTGCACAGTCATTGGAAGGTTTTCCCTTAGAGCGGTATCTGTCGGGTTGGCTGTGGAGCCCCCTGGAGTGGAGCCTTCATGGCAGTGTATATAGGTTGCTGCCGACCCGCTGCCTCTTCAGTCCCTTCATAATGGACGTGAGCAACACATCTCAAAGAACAACAGTTACGAAAGGTAGGTAACCGGTTTTTCTTCGAGAGAGAGATTGCTCATGTCAATTCCAAGTAGGTGACTCCCAAGCAATCCCCCGGAGGAGGGGTCAGAGTTCACCGAGTTACAGAGAGTAGCACGGCTCTACCAAACACGGCATTGTCTCTAGCCTTCAGGAGGAACACTGGGTGCAGCTGCATTTGCCTTGTAAAACACGGTATAAGGGGGCTCGGACATCAGGGCCTTGAACTCAGACACCTTCCTGGCTGACGTTATAGCCACTAGGAACACCACCTTCCAAGAAGGTAAAGTAGAGAGCTCATTGCTAGGGGCTCAAAGGGAGTGCCCATCACCCTTGAGAGCACCAGGTTAAGATCGCGTAGGGGAATCGGCTGCCGTACCTGAGGGTACAGCCTGTCCAGCCCCTTGAGGAAGTGGCCAACCACGGCGTTAGCAAATACTCAGCGGCCCAGCTGAGCTGGGATAGAAAGCTGAAATCACAGCCAGGTGCACCGTGATTGACAACACCGCCAGACCCTGCTGTTTTAGGTGAAGTAAATAGTCCAGGATGAAGGGACTCAAGGCCTGCAATGGAGGAGTGCTCTTCTGTAGAGACTAAATAGAAAATTTCTTCCACTTAGTCTGATAAGTAGCCCGAGTAGAGGGCTTCCTACTGCCATGGAGGACCTCCCTAACCGAGTCAGAGCACGCAAGCTCTAATAAGTTCAGCCATGGAATTTCCATGCCGTGAGGTGGAGCAACTCCAGGTTGGGGTGCTGGAGGCGGCTGTGGTCCTGCGTGATCAAGTCTGGAACCATGGGCAGGGCTATAGGCGTGTCCACGGACAGGTCTAGCAGTGTGGTGAACCAGTGCTGATGGGGCCACGCCAGTGCTCTGAGGATCAAGGATGCTTTCTCCCATCAGACCTTGAAGAAGACTATAATGGATCACAAATTGAATGTCAGCCAACAGAGTGATGCAGTTGTAAGAATGGCTAATATAATTCTGGAATGTATTAACAGACGTGTCATATGTGACACATGGGAGGTAATGTCCTGCTCTACTCAGCACTGGTGAGGCCTTAGCTCAGTGGTTCCCAAACTTTAACAACCTGTGAACCCCTTTCACTAAAATGTCAAGTCTCGCAACCCCCCTCCTAAAAATGAATATTTTCAGGGATTTTCTCCTTTACCTGAGTATAAATTATAAAAGCAGTGATCTTGGAAATATAAATTTTGTTTTTATAACATGCTTATTACACACTATTTATTAATTATTAATCATTACAGTATTTTTATTACATTATGAAAACCGCAACATTCTTCCAAGATCTCACTTTTGTAGCTTGTATCACTTTGAATGAGCCTATTATAAGGCAAGGCTCCTACCCTTGTTGCCAAGAAGGCTAACGGCATTTTGGGCTGTACAAGTAGGAGCATTGCCAGCAGATCAAGGGACGTGATCATTCCCCTCTATTCGGCATTGGTGAGGCCTCATCTGGAGTACTGTGTCCAGTTTTGGGCCCCACACTACAAGGTGGTTTTGGAAAAATTGGGAAGAGTCTAGCGCAGGGCAACAAAAATGATTAGGGGGCTGGAGCACATGATTTATGAGGAGAGGCTGAGGGAACCGGGATTATTTAGTCTGCAGAAGAGAAGAATGAGGGGGGATTTGATAGCTGCTTTCAACTACCTGAAAGGGGGTTCCAAAGAGGATGGATCTAGACTTCTCAGTGGTAGCAGATGACAGAACAAGGAGTAATGATCTCAGATTGCAGTGGGGGAGGTTTAGGTTGGATATCAGGAAAAACTTTTTCACTAGGAGGGTGATGAAGCACTGGAATGGGTTACTTAGGGAGGTGGTGGAATCTCCTTCCTTAAGGGTTTTTAAGGCCCAGCTTCACAAAGCCCTGGCTGGGATGATTTAGTTGGAGATTGGTCCTGCTTTGAGCAGGGGCTTGGACTAGATGACCTCCTGAGGTCCCTTCCAACCCTGATATTCTATGATTCTAAGACCTTGTGGATGAGCAGGAACGGTGAGAATGTGTACAGCAGGTGCCCCTTCCACGAGAAGAGAAAGGCGTCCGCGAGCAAGCCTGGGCTGTGATTCAGGAAGGAGCAGAATTGCTGACACTTCCTGTTGCTTCGTTGCGAACAGGTCTATTTGGAAAATGTTGATCGCGACGTCCGGGGACAGAGACCACTCGTGACCGTGAAAAAATCTGCTGAGGCAATCGGCCAATTTGTTCTGCGAGCCCGGAAGGTACGATGCCTCCAAGTGTATCGAGTGGGCAATGCAGACGTCTCACAGCCTGAGGGCTTCTGACACGGGAGAGGAGAGAGCACCAACCTGTCTGTTTATATAGAACATCACTGTGGCATTGTCTGTCAACACTGATACACATCTGCCCTGTAAATGGGTTTGAAATGTCTGGCAAGCAAGGCGCACCGCACGCAGCTCCCTGACATTGGTCCCAGGGAGAACTTTCGCTGCACATCATAGACCTTGAGTCCTGAGTCTTCCTAGGTGCGCTCCCCATCCCATCGCTGACACATCTGTGACTAGTGACAGCGAGGGCTGAGGTCTGGAGAAGGGTCTGCCCACGCAGACTGTCTGTGGATTGAGCCACCACTGGAGGGACTCGAGGACCTGAGGAGTGATTGTGACCAGTCTGTCTGGTCTCGCTTCGGCCTGTACACTCAGGCTAGCCACGCCTGAAGGGGACAGAGCTGCAGCCTGACATGCTGTACCACATAAGTGCAAGTCGCCATGTGCCCAAGCAGTTTTAGGCAATTTCTAACCGTCGTGGTTGGGAACCTTTTGAGATCCTCTATGACGGCGCTCATGGCAAGGAAATGAGATACTGGAAGAAAGGCCCTGGCCTGAGTGGAGCGTAGGAGGGATCTGATGAACTCTATCCTTTGAGTGGGAGTTATGGTCGACTTCACTACATTCAGGATGAGGCAGAGCTGGAGGAACATCGTCCGCTCCAGGCTCACGTGGTCCTCCACTTGGGCCCGGGAGCAGCCCTTGATTAGCCAGTCGGGAATACCTGCACCTGCCGCTTCCATAGGAAGGCTGCCACGACCGCCATGCACTTGGTGAACACCCAAGGGGTCGCCAAGAGGCCAAAGGGAAGGACTGTGAACTGATAATGAATGTTGTTGACCACGAATCATAGGAACCATCTGGGGACACGTGAAAGTACGCATCCTCCAAGTCAAGGGCGGCATACCAGTCCCCCAGATCCAGGGAGGGAATGATGGAAGCCAGAGAGACCATGAGAAACTTAACAGATTTATGAATCTGTTGAGGTTTCACAGGTCTAAAATAGGCCTGAGCCCACCCTTGGCCTTGGGGATTAGGAAATATCGGGAGTAGAACCCCCTGCCCCTGAACTCCAGAGGACCTCCTCTACCGCCCCAAGTTGTAGGAGCATTTGCACCTCCTGCACTAGAAGTTGCTCGTGAGAAGGGTCCCTGAGGAGGGACAGGGATGGTGGGTGGGATGGCAGGAAAACAGAATTGGAGAGAAAACCATTCTCAAGACCCATTGGTGTGAAGTTATTTGAGACCAGGCATGGTAGAAATGGAATAGACGAGTCACAAAAAGAGGGGAAGGATCCGGGATTTGAACTGGTGCACCATCCTCAGGCGCAACTTCAAAAGTTCGGTTTTGAGGCCCGAGGAGGACTGAGATGGACGCCTCGGCCCTGTTTCCTATTACAGTCCTGTCTGGGAGGAGCAGAGTAGAAGCGTGGGGCAGGCTGAGATTTGAACAGCTTCCTTAGGGGGCCGGCGTGTGAATCCCCAGGGATTTAAGGATTGCCCACGAGTCCTTAAGGCTACGGAGCCTAGAGTCTGCTCGGAAAAGAGTCCTGAACAGTCAAAGGGTAGGTCCTGGATAGTATTCTGGGCCTCATGTGGGAGCCCCGAGACCTGAAGCCAGCAGCTGTGTCTCATGGCTATGGCGGTAGCCATCAAGCGAGTGGCCAAATCTGCCGAGTTCAAGGCGACCTGTAGGAAGGTCCTTGCGACCACCAGACCCTAAGTCCGAGTGAGCTGACCCAGGCCAGCTGTGGGTTTTTTATCATTGTGCAGATGTACCCTTGGTTGTTGTTGCTTCTTTATGAGGGAGAAAGTCCCTGAGAGGAATGATTTGAGGTTTGTTTGTTTTTTTTAAGATATTCTTTTGCCTTTAAAACTAAAAAGAACCCCACAGCCTTGGCCATCAGGAATGTCAAGTCTGATCTATCCTGGTTTTACTTGAGGGGCTTCTGGGTCTCAGGCCTCGTTAATTATGCAGAGCATGTAGATAGAACCTTTAACAAAGGTGTCCTTTTCCCAAAATGTTAACTAGGTGTTATTAAAAACAGTTTTAAAACAGTCTGATTAAAATTCACTTTCCCTTCTTGGCCTGTTAATTCAGGATTTCACAAGTTCCCCAGTGACTGAGTCTCAGAGAGCAAACGAGACCTGAATTTCTAACACAAGCGGGGGGAAAGGATTCCTTAAAAAACCCCTACCAAGCTAAGTGAAAAGGGCAGAAGCCTCAATTTTTTCCCCTTTAATCAGAAATGAAATCCCCCCTGCAGATGCTAGGCTGCTAATAATCTAACTGGTGTTCCCAACTATGCTCATTTCATTACTCTAATGTAGCACAGCTAGAATCATCAAGATTTGTCAAAAACTTCTCCAGACAAACTGATAAGGGACAAAACATTCTCTTTCCTCTCACCGGAACGGATCTAAAAACAAGAGCTGTGTCCTGCTGTGTCCCTGGCTACATGCAAGTGAAAGGAGGAATGTTGCCTTTGCAATATGTATTTGTAATGGCTAGATGCTGAACCATTAATGCCCATCAAAACAGGGTATTTCCTGCAGATTTATCAGTAAGAGAAACTTACACGACACACAACTCCCCATCCCCACAAGTAGAAGCGTGTGAAACACAGCCACTCCTCTGCAGCATGGGGGGAGATGTGATTTCCCCCACCACCACAACAGAAGCCAAACCCTATGTGGCATAGGCTCTACCTCCCGCCCCTCCCTCCAAACACAGGCTTTTCTTTATTCTCAAATTGATACATTTTTGATTTTGGAAATAAGTCTTCCCAGTTCCACTCCTTTGCCCCACCCTCAGGCTGACTCCGCTCAGCAACCTCTGAAAAGAAGTCCCTTTGGGTCCACAGGGCTATATCTGCAGCCCTCCTACTATCCCCTATTTGTCACAGCTGGAACCTCAAACTCTAACCCCTGTTCAATATGGGAATGGGTGACTCCTAGGCAGATCCAGTTACAGAACGTCTTGACCCAGAGTCTTCCTTATACTGCAGAATGAGAGTCTAGAATCTTGTGAAATGACATGTTTCAGCCCAATCCCCATTAAGAGCACACCACAAAGGTATCAGCTTGAAGGACATGACTTACCAACACACATTCTCCCAATGATCCGACAGCCAGCGATGGAAGCGTGAACAACAGGGATGGTCTCAGAAAGCTCCCCCTCAAAGATACTGCAATAAGACAGACAGTGAAATGATGCTGCAAAGCAAAGAGTGACATATACAGAGAATCCCATTCAATCCAGAGGGACTCATACCCCAAGGGAAATCAGGTCAAGACAGCTGAGAAGGAGATCTGATGTTCCTGACCTGTTTTATAAAGGTGAGTATGTCCATTTTACAGATGGGGAGACTGAGGGGCAGAGAAGTTCACTGACTTGCCCAAAGCTTCACAGCAGGTTAATGGCAGAGTCAGCAATGCAACTCAGGCTTCCTGAGCCCCAGTGCAGCGTGCCCTGTCCACTAGACCCACACGGTCTTCCCAACTACAACGAAGCCATTTCCTATTAAAGTGATGACTAGAATTCTTTGAATGTGCCAGCAACACCGTGAATAAAGAACAGGCTGATTGAATTTATTGGACTTCAAACAGCCTTTGACAAAGTCTCTCATGGGAAGCTAATAAGGCAACTAAAGTACTGTGGAGTGAGAGGTGAAGTACAGTCATGGGTTAGAAAACAAATGACACCTCTAGGACTGGTACTAGGACACCTGCTGTTTAATTTATTTATCAATGATCTGGATAAAGGGGAGAACAGTGAGGTGGCTAAAACTACATGCGACACCATTATCTGAGGCTACAGCCTTGTCTACACTAGTTTTGTTGGCAACATAAGTTACACAGCAATAAGCACACGTGTGCACAGCGCTATGTATGTGGAAGAGCTTCTCACGCAGACAGAGCTTCTGCCGCTCATGGAGGTGGTTTTATTATGCTGACAGGAGAGCTCTCTCCTGTCCGCAGAAAGCAGGGCAAACTTTTTGGCCTGAGGGCCATATCGGGATTCCAGAACTGTATGGAGGGCCGGGTAGGAAAGGCTGTGCCTCCCCAAACAGCCTGGCCCCTGCCCCCTATCCACCCCCTCCCACTTCCCACCCCGACTGCCCCCTCAGAGCCCCCAACCCATCCAACTCCCCCCCCACTCCTTATCCCCTGACCACCCCCACCCGGGAGCCCCCACCCCTAACTGCCCCCCCGGGACCCCACCCCCTATCCAACCCCCCTGCTCCCTGTCCCCTGACTACCCCGCCCCTTATCCACACCCCTACCTCGACAGGCCCCCCAGGACTCCCACGTCTATCCAACCGCCCTCTGCTCCCTGTCCCCTGACAACCCCCCAGAACCCTCTGCCCCTTATCCAACCCTCCCGCTCCCTGCCCCCTTACCATGATGCTCCGAGCACCAGGACTGGCAGCTGCGCCGCCCGGCTGGAGCCAGCCACGCTGCCGCGCAGTCCGGTGGCTCTCGCAGCCGCGCAGTCTCGAGCACCGGGGCAGGCCGGTGGCTCTCGCAGCCGCACTGCCCGGCAGGAGCTCGCAGCCCCACAGTTAGCACAGCAAGCTGAGCCTGCGGGGCAGGAGAGACTGCAAGGCCAGGGGCTAGCCTCCCCAGCCGGGAGCTCAAGGGCCGGGCAGGAAGGTCCTGCAGGCCGGATGTGGCCACAGGCCATGGTTTGCCCACCTCTGGCATAGAGCATCTTCACCAGATGCGCTGCAGGGGCACAGCTGTACTGCTGCAGCGCTGTACATGTAGACATGCCCTAAGTTAATCAAGACTGAAGAGGACAGCAAGGAACTTCAGAGGGACATAATCAAGCTAGGTGAATGGGCAACATGACGGCAAATGAAATTCAGTATTGACAAATGCAAGATAATGCAGGCTGGAGGGACCGGTCTGAACTACTCGTACATCTTACTGATAAGTTAAATGTAACAAGCCAAGAAAAAGCTCTAGGTATCCAGGTGGGCAGCTCAACTGAAACCTCTGCTCAACACCACCAATGGTCAAAAAGCAAACAAGAAGGTAGGAAACAGAAGGAATGGAGAATACTGGAAATACAATGCTGTTACATAACCCAGTGGTTCTCAACCAGGGGTACGCATACCTCTGCGGGTACACAGGGGTCTTCCAGGGGTACATCAACTCATCTAGATATTTGCCTAGTTTTACAACAGGCTACGTAAAAAGCACTGCACAGTCAGTACACAGACTTGTGTATACTGCTCTATATGCAGAAATGTAAGTACAATATTTATATTCCAATTGATTTTATAATTATATGGGGAAAAGGAGAAAGTAAGCAATGTTTCAGTAACAGTGTGCTGTGACACTTGAATTTCTGTCTGATTTTGTAAACAAGTAGTTTTTAAGCGAGGTAAAACTTGGGATACGCAAGACAAATCCGCCTCCTGAAAGGGTACAGTAACCTGGAAAGGTTGAGAGCCACTGCTATAAACTAATGGCCCTGTCCTAGCCTAACACATTCATTTCTAGTCACCTTTCTAAGGAGATGCAGCAGGACTATGGGAGACCCGAGCTGCGTAAGGAGACCGTCTGGATCCCAGCTCTCTTTATAACCCTCCGGGGATTATAAAACACCAGCCTCTTCTTCCAAGAGCATCTAGACTGCAAGGGCGGGGAGGATGCGCCGAGCCCCAGGGCCGGGGAGGGAGGGGGGC